TGAGGATCTGCCTGATTTTATTGTGTCTTAGTACCAGTCGACTGCACTACTCAAATGTTGCTTGCTTTGTGCTTGTTGGGATCATATTGATGTTAGTTAACTCTAAAATGAATACATTAAATTACATTCTAAGAATGTTAAATAATCTTAGAGTGGCAGGTTTGGTCCTATTGCACAGTCGTTGCCTGAGTCTAACTGTTGTAGGGTTGAGTCTTTTAGTCGAAAGATTATTTAAGTTTTGTTGCATGTAATTTTATTCACGGAGTGGTTAGCTGCCATTAATAGGGGTTCTTCAGCAGTTTGATGGCAGGGGAGGCGGGGAATCCTAGGAGAGCCCATGAAGTGCTTTAGTATGGTAATTACGATGTTAAGCATGTATTGGGAGTATTATTATAAGTATATGACCTAGAAGACTCGTGATGATTCTTGAGGAATGTATGGATAGGTGTGGAAGGTAGTATTAGGCCCGTACTACTAGAAGCATAGGATCTATACTCGAATCGAGGAAATTTTTGGGGATTCTAAGGAGCTGGTCTGGGAAGATAGCATTGTTTGATACCATGATTCATGGCAGTGGTTCCATATATGTCAATATTTTGGTTATGGTTGTTCAGGAATGAAGATGGATCTGGTGATTGTTTGGGCCTCATTGTCCATGTTAGTTTGGGTTTGAATGATGCAAACCTAGGTGATTTAGTTGATTTTGAGGTCTTGAAGGCCTTTCTCGAGGTAATTCCAGCTGAGTCGCGTGACTCAAGATGAAAGCGATTGTTATGATCGTCTTGAGGATTGCAGCCAGAGGCTGAATGGTTGAAAGATGGATTGGAATGTTGCTACATTTGGTGGGGGTTATGTTCTTCCAGCTTGTTGTGCTTAGAGAAAAGAGAGAGCAAACATGTGATCTTCATAGTTGGGGTGTACACCCAACACAAGGCTAGATGGTTGCGGTTTTTGGTGGAAGTATGGCAGTATGTAAATGCACAAGAGGATTCTTGTGGTATAGATGCCTTGATATGAGATCAAGAGTCAAATTTCTTTGGATATAGGTAGGGTAGGTGCTGGTTGATGGAAGGAGGTGGAAGAGAAAAATTTTGTTGTCTCTGATGTATCTCGACTATGAGATTGATGCCTCTTGTATATAGGGTTGATGATCATGATGAATTAATGGTTGGGGTTTATGGCCGATATAAGTGGTAGTCTAATTATTTTGGATAGAGAATTGGTGCTATGACTGGACTATCAAAATTATTACTTGTGAATCTACATGGAATTCTGGATGTTAGAGGCTGTTATGATTGGAAGTTCTTAAGGTTTCCCTCTGAGAGCTGGGATCTTTGAGGTTTCTCGGTCTTTATCTGTAAGATCATCTTGCGTTGTGTTATAAATTCCAAGGGAATGGGATGCAATATATTTGGATAATCCGATTTGATTTTTTTGGTTATTTGCAAGGTCAGTTGGTGGTAGTTCAAACCTTAAGTGGGGAGAGCTAAATTTTATGCTTGGAGGATCATCGATCTATTTGAGACATGGATTATGAAGAATGGATCATAAGTAATTGTTGTGTGGGTGTGTGAAACTTTAGTTTAGGATTTGGTCAAGACGAAGGTGAAGAGCAAGTTGTCATTAGATGTATATGTTCAGGAATGCAAGAGTATTCTTCGCGACAAGAAGCTGTTGGACTAGGAGCTCATTGTAGTCAGTGGTTCCTTTCAAGAACATAGAGGAATAGGTCGGAAGGCATTTGGTTCGCTCAGGTTAAGTATCGGTTGTTGAGGGTTTTGTTAACTTGTTGTATAGATTGATATCTATAGTCTTGGATGGGCAGTTGTTGATTGGCCGATCAGTCTCAGAGTTTTCGTTTTGTCGTATATTGGATCACTAAATTAGTAGTTAATGCATTCACGATCGTTGGCCATTTGTTTATCATCAATAGCATATCTTTGAAAGTTTTATCAAGCTAGTTGCATGGTGGTAGGATATATTGGTTTCAATCAAGGTGTGGTATCTTAGTTCGACCATCCATGAGAATGATTTGTCAGTGGTTAAGGTTATCCATTTCGGTTAGATCTTCTAGTACCACACCCTTTGGTAGGATTGTGATGGCAGATCTAGGGTTGGTTATGGGATTCTCTTGAGGGTGTGTATGGTAATAAGTTCATTAGATACTGTCAAGAGGAATCCATGTAGACTGGGTATGATAGTAGGAAGGTACTTCACTTGATTTATTAGCATGGGTCTTAATTGGTTTGTAGCCTTTGTATTGGAAGAAGAATACAACTACCTAACCCATTCTATAGTTGTGTGCAATCATGTTTTATTCTGATGGTTATTTAGTAGCAGCATGTACTGTGAAAGGAATTGTGTGTGGTGAACGAGTATGGATCATGTTGTGTTCTATTGGGTTGTGGTGACTTGGTAAGACATGTAGAAGATATGGTGGATAACCTATTGACCCATGTTCAAATCCTGGCACCACTCAGCCCTTGTGGCCATAGAGGTTCGCCTGCAGTGACTCCAGGGCATAAGGCAAAGCTTTATGTTTGCAACGGGGGATTAGTCGGTGCGCGAAAGCTGGCCCGGAAACCCTCGTTAGGGAAGTTCCCTTTCCAAAAAAAAATTGAGAGGGTTGTTGATAGAGTTCCTATGAGATAGTGGATTGATGGTTGAGTATTCTAGGCCCCTATGGTGATGGTCGTGAGTTTTTAGGCTAGTAATGGAATGACAGCAAGATCAGTGTAGTGCTGTGAAATTATCATTTTGGTGGTTTGAAAGTAGCATGATGTATCGTGAATCAATGTCCGTATGTTTCATACAGGAGGGAGTTGGTAGTCATTTGATTAAGACTTTTAGGTGTGAAGATCATTAGTTGTATTCACATGTTTGGGATCGGTAGTCTTTTGGGAGGCCAAGATACTAGGAACATTCTAGACATGGGATGTGGGCCGAGTGTTCATGTTAGTTTATTTTCCGAGTGCATTTATCTGTTATCAGATCGGGGGTAAGCCCGAGTGCAGTTAATGGTTATTAGATTGGGGGTAAGCCCGAGCATGGTTATAGGTTAAGAGAATTGGGGGTAGAATAGAGTGTGGCTAGCATATAGTAGGGTTGTTGAGCTGAATGAGTGCTTGGGTTATTCTAGTAAGCGACCGATTAACTTCCGTTCAGGTATTGTCAGCACATTTTGTTGTTGAGTATTGTTTTCACGTGATGTTTAGATGGATACATTTTCCAACTTTATCCATAACAAGGTTACGAACTTTCAAGATCTAAACTTTATGCACTAAAATAACCAAAGAGTGGAAATTTTGACAAATAACTAGATATATGAAACCAATGAGCAACTTAGAAGATTTTTACTCACAATGGTCCAGGAATGATGTAATATTGCTAGATCTATACATGAACTCTTCTTCTATACTCTTTGCCACCACCTTGCTCTTCAAGATTCAACATTCAAATGGATAATAAGCCCATAAATGATGTGAAGGCTCAAAACAAGTGAGAGGAGGCTAGGGTATCTCAAGGAATTATCTTAGGTGATGGAGGCTGTTCATGAGAGGGTTTCTCATAGGTTAGAGCCCTTAAATGGAGCTTAAAACTGAAGATTTAAGGTTTGATTTGCCCAGATTATGCTCTACGAAACATAAATTATGCCATGTGTAATTCATTAAACCCACATTACGCTTTCAGTTACACTCTGTGTAATCCAAAAATCCTTAATTTCCACTTCTACTTCAAACAACCATAACCTTTTTGTTTCAATTTCATTTTCGACATTTTTTATATGCATAGAAATGTATTGAAGAGCCCCACAATCATATCTAACTACTTTTGACTAAAAACATACCAAACTAAAATCCTTAATTCATGAATGATGTTTGAAACATCACTTTTCCCATTTTCCCATTTGATTTCAAAACACAAACTAAGAGCTTGGATCACCTAACCAATATTATACACATCCAATAGGGTCTAAACCCAAATCCCTTGAAGCCTAATGCCCTTGATCAATTTATTGTCCATAATTTCAAAATAAGAAACTTCTCAAAAATAGATGTTACAATAAGTCAATGATTGAAAAGACCCAAATGCTACAAATAGGTAAACACAAATTAGAACACGCATACTAGCGGTTATGAATCGTTTTTTTAATCGAAAATCGATTTTATTACCTTATTTTCTAAAAAAACCTAAACCAAACCGATTTTAAACCTAAAAAAACGATTTTTTTTTTACAAAGCAAGGGTGTTGTTCCTAAGTGCTGTTTCGACCAACTCAACACATTGCACAATGCGGTTCTTGGTACAACTTCAAGCCTTGTATTTTAGGGGGTGTTTTGACTTATTTTTTATTTTTCTTGAGCTAGACTTATTTTCCTAATATAAGTCATAATAAACTCAAAAATTTTAAAAATAAGTTTATAAAAAAAAAATAAGTTTATAAAAAAAAATAAGTTTATAAAAAGTAAGTTCAAAAAATAAATCATAAATAAGCTTAATGAAACGCCTTACAAGCTTATGAGCTTAAAATGATTTATTTTGTTATAGCATCACTTATGGTTGTTGGATGAAATTTGGTCTCAAAATCTATAGTTTTAGAGTTTTAGTTTGACTTTTACTGATTATCTCAAAATAGAAACAAGTTCAATATTAGAAATTAAGTTAAAACTTAAAACATCCCTTACTTATTGCCCAAGTACATATTCTTAATTCTTAAACATAACTTTTTATAACCATTTAGTCAATTTTATTCTGGAAACATTAAAAAATATATCTTAAGCGCAAAAGCAAATTTGGATTTGAAATCGGAATCTTGGAAACTAAAGAGTAAACCACAATCAATTGACTAATTCCATAAAATATGAAAAAAAGGAAGACCAAATTCTCATCATCATCATCATCATCGTAACATGGCATCTCAAAGAATGAATTAATTAATCAATAAAACACAATCGGATTTAGATTTTTCAAAGCCAAGATATGGAATTGATTCCAAAGTCTTCACCAAACTTCCACTACTGTAATACCCTTCCAATTTGCATGGGAATTAACACAAGTCCTAAAATCGAAAATTATAAAATTAATTACGCTCACTGATATTTGTTCTTAAGCTAAATCAAGAGAAAAAAATGAAAAAAAGAGATCGATTTTGATGAAATTAGGATGATTCTAAGATCAACCCAGAAGTTTCTGCTACAGAAAGAGCATGATTGTGATCTCCTTCGTAAGTAACAATCAACATGCTTGGATCATCCAATGCTCTCTCGACATGTTTCCGAGCTGGGCATCCTCTCACACTACTGCACTTGTAGTATCCTCTGTGGATTTCAGGGATTAAATTGAAGAAATTAGAGATGAATTCATGGAGGATTTCGGGATTGATTCAAAATCTGTTAGTTTATTAAAGCGAAAATGGTGAAATAAGAGAGTAATTTTACCTGGGATGTGGAGATCCTTTAATGGGTTTCTGGCCGTATTTTCTCCACGAGTAATCGTCCGGCGGAATATCGGCGAGCTTCATACTTATGGCCTTAACCCTAATTACCCTCTTCATTCTCAGCTTTCTGATTGATATAAAGAAATGACATTAAAATTGATGATAAATCGATATGGGTGAACTCAACAATTAGATGGGGGTTGTTTGAATTTTGAATTCTTACCTTCGTTTAGAACAGTGACAACGGCCAGTAGAACCGCCGCTGCACTTGCCGGAAGCACCATTTTCCGATGAACTACACTTCCTTTTCAAACAAGAAGAAGAACACAACGGAGGTTTACCGCCGGCGGAGAGCTGTTTTCCGTCGGAGTCTCCGGTCAACGATGACATAAACGAGCTAGCTCGAGAAACCGCAGGGGAGTAAGAGAAACTAATCGTTTTAGGCAAAGAATCTTTCCTCTGAAACACTGCCGTTGGATTACCGGTAGCCGGAACCGCCGGAGGCGGCGGAGGAACAAAAGGTACTTGTTGTATAGGTGTTGGACAATAGACTTTATTCTCACCTTCATCCGAAACGACATCATCCTGGTCGTGGTCCTTCATTATCGTCTGATTATGATTCAGATAACCACCATGATTAATAGGTGCTCGTCGGAACCGGGCATGGCCGGTGAGTTCCCGACTGGGTCTTCCCAACAAAGAGATAACCCGTTTGAACTTGGTAACAGCGACATCGGCGACAGCTTTATAATCCGCCGGCGATTGGTTTTGTTGTTGAGACTGGGATTGGGAAAGGAGACGGATGAGCTTTTGGACGCTTTCAAGGCCGGAAGCAGCTTCTTGGACGGCGTTGGTTTCGTCGGAGGTGGTGTTTCTGAAGCCCATGATTAGATCTACGGCGGCCATGGCGGATTAGACCATGAAAATGGTGGTTTGCAGAGATAAGAAGCAGTCAAAATGATTAGATCGGCGAGGTAAATAGGCGAAGAGGGTGAGAAATGAGAAAAGTAAGCAGTGGGTGACTGGCATGTCGTTTTATCAAATCTGCTTAGTCAAAAGTTGGTATGAGTAAGATCCAACCACATAGTCCACCCCCCCCCCCCCCCTTTTATTTATTTTCCTAATTTTTTTTTACAAAAAAAAAAAAATCAAATTTAATTATTAGTAAAGCCTAATTTGGTTAAATTTGCTTCATGATTGTTGTCAAATATTTCACAATTTGTGAGAACTTGTAGAATATTTTTATGAAATTTTAACTATGTATCTATTCTTTATAATATTCGATATTTAGACATATAGAGATAACGTTTTAATTAACCAAACTTTCTACAACTGAAACCAAACTTGGAGCTAAAAACCAACTCAAATCAAACTAAATAAACTTTGTTATAGCTTACTTAAACAAAATACAATTGATTAAAGATAGCGTGACGAAACAGTAATACGAAATATATTATTAGAGACGCAAGAGAAGTTTACGTGAAAGATGTTAGAAAAACATAGCATATTACACGACAATAACCGAAAAATCTTGGTATGTTGTGTATATAAAAACTTTATCGAATTTCAATAAATTGATGAAGGGGTGATGTTCTTTGAAAAATTTAAAACATACCCACGATTTCAAGTTGAGTAAACCAACTTTTAAGTTTCAACTAAATAATAAAATTAAAAATGCAACATATTAAATATCTTAAGAGCGTAGTCGGAATCCTAAAATCTCAGTATATGTTTTATTTCAAGATTGATCCTAATATGAATGAAATTGTTTTTTCTTTTATAAAATCTCAAAACTATAAAATCAAATTTTAAACAACCATATACTTTTGTACATATAACATGTAAATATTATTTGATTTGAATTAAAAGAAAGAAAAAAAAAAAAGTGAATGATATTTCGTCAATATTGGACCCATTGAATTTTGTAAAATAAAAAGAAAGTAGAAAAAGAAAGTGAAAGCAAAAGGTCAAAAAAGGAAAAAGGAAGAAGAAATAATTGAGGAGAGGGCCAGATGACTATAGCGGATCAAATACGGTGAAGATTTTGAAATAATAAAGTATTAAACGGCCGATGACTAAACGTTTGACCTTTCTTTTCTTGTGTCGTTTCTATGCTAGTCAACTAAACGTTTCTAGCCGTTGGATTACGTAACTATCTGGATCAATTATATTTTATTTATTTATTTTTGCATTTACTTCAACTCTGTAAAACAATAATGTCAATAATGAAATTTATATCGAAATGTTGGCACACGTTATTTTTAAAAGAAAACAAATAGCTAGTATATTTTTAGTTGGTATTTGCAACTTTGTTTGAAAATTGTTTTTTCTAAAATAATAATAATAATAATTAAATAAATAACTATATAACAACATAAACAAAAATATCTGGGGTATTTTTTATTGTTTAACGTGACGTATTTTGATCATTCAAAAAATAACTAGATAAAATGACCTCTAAGTTAAAAAGTTATTGGATAGTCAACTTTACTCATATTGCTATCTGAAGTCTTTGAAGATAACTATTTATTTATTAGGGAGTTGATTTGTATAATGTGTGATTTAAATAATATACGCTTTAAAATGTTATATTATATAAACTTTTTATTGTGTATGAATTACTATCTTATTTATAACAATTTTTATGTTAAAAACACACTCTGATTTAGTACTAAAATATACAAAATTGGCTATAGAGTGGCTCAAACATATCTGATCCTAACATTGTATAAAACTTAAGCGAATCTAATCTACACCACAAAAAATTTATTGAAATATTTTATTAAATAAAAATTTTACCGTTAAATTTATAACATTGTATAAAGCTTAAGCGAATCTAATTTACACCATAAAAAATGTATTGAAATATTTTATTAAGTAAAATTTTTACCGTTAAATTTAAAACTTAAGTTGATAGAAACATTTCATAAATTCCCTATTATGAACATCATATATAGATGTTCACTCATTAATAATAAAAATGTTACAAACAACTTTCAAAAAGAAGATAAGTAATTAGTGTATTATTATTTTACAAACATCGATTTTCTAAAAATTTTAAAAGAAAATTCATCTATTATACTTTCATAATCAATATGTTTAAGAAATTTATTATCAATCAAAATCAAATCCAATTTGTATAATCTCGATTAAGTCAAGGTGTTGAGTGACTTTTTATAGGTTATAAAGTGGAGCTTGATGATTTAATATTGTTTTTAAACGATTCTAATATTTTATATGCATGTGACGTATGGGGTGGGCTTAGACGGGTGCATTTTATATATGTTCTTTATGGAACATCAACATCAATGCTATGTTTTTCTCGGATTTAGATGATCATGTGTTGAACAACTACATCTTGTCAAAAGGTATATGTTTCTTTAGGAGGTTGTTAAAAACATGTCTCTACTATCCTCTAATATTGTTGTGTGTGTGTGTATGTGTGTGTGTGCACGCGCATTCATTTTTGTGTCGGCTTTGTAATTCGACCGATGAATCCGATAATCATGCATTTCTATCGCTTCAAACCTCAAGAAATGACTTTTACTTGGTGTAGCTTAGACCTAGGGCATCCTTCGTCAATCGTCACTACAAAAGCTTCTTAGAAGATTTTGCACAAAATCATCAAACAAAAAAAGTTAATTCATCTTTAGACTAATTTTGTGTTATGATTTATTTGTAAGGCAGGTTAATTCATCTCTTGGCTAACTTGGTGTTATGGTTTATTTGTAATGTCAGAAAGTCTATGTTTTTCAAAATATATGAAATTATCTTCAATTTAAATATTGGTTTCTTCTATCAATTTAAAGATTAATATATTCAAACTAGCAAGGGTTAGAGAAACAATTAAACCAAAATATTCAAAATTGAGTTTTGTAACTAAAAAAATTCAATTGACCAACACTTTGTTGTTGTTATATATATATATATATATATATATATATATATATATATATATATATATATATATATATATATATATATATATATATATATATATATATATATATATATATATATATATATATATTTTTAAACGGTAAATCTAATATACTTCTAATTTCATATATATATATATATATATATATATATATATATATATATATATATATATATATATATATATATATATATATATATATATATATATATATATATTATACGAGATTTAAACTCTGCATCTCAAAGAAAAATTACAGCACCTGATATCAAACTTTGGTTGTAGCCCCCCTATTGTAGCATGTAATTTCTAGTTGTAAATTATTTACTATCTTGTTTGTTGTCTTTCGGTTGAATGTAAAGTTGCCGTTGTTCTTAAGAATATAAATGGAAATTTAAACTCCCATGATAAGAGCGTAGTGATCGAGGTACAAAATTTCATATAGGATGTTTAGAGGTCAAACTTTGACACATCCGTAATTTCATCGGTATTTCGCAATTGATCTCACATATGGCTTAGAAAAAAAATAGAAATGGGTCGTTCACATTGTCCGATTTACCATTTTTAAAGTGCAAGCCCAACAAAAATTTGCTATAATCAATAAACTAGCAAACTGATTCTAAAAATGATAGAATAAACCTTTAATAACTTGTATTGAAAAAAATAGAAATAACTGATAATTCTTTCTAATTAAAATAATATATGTATGTAGTATGTAATGGTATGAATATGATTGAAGAGTTGGGAAGCACGTGAAGGACACACTTCCTGACGAAGTGAAAGAAACAAGGGTAGTGTCAACTTTCAAAGAAGACGCAGAAAAAGTCAAAGAGGGAGCTGTAGCGAAGATGACCAATCACGACTTTGCCCACCAATTTAATTTAATATTATGTTTTTAGGGTTTTATTTTTTATGCCAACACGACCTCTGTTTGGTTTTAGATACTAGTTAAACTATCTTAGTCCATTCGTTTAATGGTTTCTACGAACGCTTGTGGTAGCAACGAATACAGCCGTGCACATTATTTCAGTGGCTTGTCATCACGGTCATGGTGATTTGTGGTGTAAAACACGAGTGATCACATCAAATAACAATATTTTTTATTAATTAAATGTGCAACAATTAATGTTTTTTAAATTATTTATAAAAAAAAAAAAAAAAATTTATCGCATTTCTATATATATCATACCACCTTCAAACATAAACATCACTATCTTTTATGTCTTTTAATACTATAAATATATATATATATATTTAAATATTTTGATTGAGATGATAACGGAGAGTTATCACAACATTATTTAATGTTGTGCAAAACATAGCCGATGAAGATCATACGGATGTAATTAATACAAGAACGATTGTTAATAGATATCGGGAAATCGCACATGAACTTTTGGTACATGATTATTTTGCCGATAATTGTTTTTTATAATGATGCGGCATTCAGACGTCGTTTTTGTTATAGAATAGATTTATTGATTAATAATGAGGGTTAAACCTCATTTAAAAAGGATACATAAGGGGCTATTGGCCTAACCTATACCCTAAGGGTCTTCGGCTTAAAACCTAAATGCTAACCTACTGTCACATCCCCAACCGGCGGAAGAAGCGTCGGGGTGAGCGACATAACGTTGGATCACAGTTAACACACATAATGAATAGTACGAAACTCGTAATTAACATTACATACTTTCATTAATCTAGAACAAGGTTTACATTGTTGGAATTCCAAAAGTACGTTAAGAAATCAATACAAGTTCAACAAAATGTAAACATAATAAGTGTCTTAACAGTTTTGCTACAACAAAAACAAGAAACTATGATGGATAACAATTTTTCCATACTAATCGGTCGTGTGTGCACTCCAGTTCTTAAGTTCTTGAAAATACAAGCGTTTTAAATTACATCAACAATAATGTTGGTGAGTTTTAGAGGGTTTGACTCTGCGTACTTTTATAACCAAAAATATGTTTTATAATAATATGATTGATTATTAGATTATATGTAACAACCCAAAAATCACGGTAAAATTTTTCATTTTTTAAAATCAATCCAAAACCATAAGTGTTTACAAAACATAGTTTCTAAAAGTCATAAGGATGAATCAGAGTATCTCAAAATCATAATCTC